GCATCTTTCACTCTTCGCCTGCTTCTTACTTAATGGAAAGGAGGTCAGGGGCCTAGCCAGGGGTGCCCCTTCCGCACTGTGGGCACTGGAAATGAACCAGGAGGATGGGGGGAGGGCAGTCCCCTGCCATTTCCTCTTGAGTCTCTCTGGTCATGATTTGCCTTTTCTTGCCTCAACAAGGCTTGACTTCATGCTATGTCTGACTAGCCCAAATTCGGTTTTCTTTGCCTGTTTGTTGTTCCAGAGAGTGTCCTCCGCCCTTGGCTGTGCCTTGACCAAGGATTGCTAGACTTCGGGGAGGGGCAGCCCAGTGCACCAGCTGACTTAGCGTCTGGCTAAGTGTGTCATCCCTTAGAGTCCGGATGATTCTGTGTCTCCCCGGGGCCTGCTGGGAAGGAGGGGATTAGGGAGGGAGGTGGTGGCAGCTGGTCTCAGAGCTCCCCTGGATCACTCAACCAGTTGACTTAAGCCATTGGACCTCCTTGTGGCTTCACACTGATTATCTCTGGGACAGGCATCTGTGACAGCCAGCATGGAGCCAAAGGCTGCGTTTTCTAGAACACTTTGCAGTGCACCCCACAGTTTTAATCTTGGGAGCAGCCCCAAGAATAGGTGGACTCCTTACTGCCCTCAGTTGACAGCTGAAGGAATTCCCACACTAGTCTGGTAACTTGCCCAAGGGCACATGGGGAATGTATCATTAAGATTAGTATTCCTTAACACACACGGCTCTCAAGAAGGAAATGTTTGCTATTCTGCTGAGTCGGAAGTCCTGTGAAGTCACCCAGTCCCTGACTCCTTCCAGCTTCCTGCTCTGTCTTCTCTAGCATACAGTTCTGTCCTCATGCTCATAAGATGGCTGCCGAACCTCCAACCATCTCATTCATATTCCAGGAAGGAAGCAGGCAGAGGGGTGAAAGGAAAAAAAAAAAAATCAAAAGGCCAAGTTTGACCCTTAAGAAGAAAATACTCTTCTCAAAACTCTGCTGACATCTCATGAGCCAGAAATGAGTCTCTGGACCACCCTCCCCACCCAACTGGCTACAAGGCAGATGGGGGAAGGGAGAATTTTATCAGGCACATTGTTGGGAATTCTGTCCTAAAGGGAGAGTAACAGATGTGTGAGGCCACAGCCCACATAGTCAGCCATAGTTTATAAAGCTCCGAAACCAGGATTGGCAGCTGAAATGAAATCTTGAAGGAATACTTAGTGGTAAGTGCTGTTTCCACCACCTGCCGTCTTGTAAGCCGTGTAGACCGTAGGAATAGGATAGGTGCCGTTTCGCCACTTACTAGCTTACAGGTGGTATGGACTCTGTGAATCTTGGTGCCCTTTTGGGGCCAGACCTGGCCTGTGGCAGAGCTGGCCTCTCTCTCTGGGAGCTGGCTGTCAGGTGGGAGGTGGTGATCAAACAGATACTTGCCCCATAGTGGGCACTGCAGATAAAACAACCAGTACACGGTGAAGGGGCCAGCCCAGTGCAGTGATGTTTGTGCTGAGGCTCTTCCGACTGGGACACCTGCCAGCCTACGGCAGTGTGGAGGCAGGTGCACGTCCTGGGAAGGATGGGCGGAGCCAGTGTCATGCCTCTGTTCCACGTGCCAGTGTACCCCTAGCACCTTGTCTGTGGATGGCACGTCCCTGGAGATGCTGGGGCCGTAGAAGGCCGTCCACAGTCACGTGGGAGGGGGGCTGACTTCGAGTCACAGTGCCCCTTCTGCCTTAAAGGTTTCTTTTCTTCGTGTACCGTCTGGCACCGAGAGTAAACAGGTGTCAGAGAGCACACAGAGTCTAGGGTTTTGGACTTGGAACAGCCTCAGATTCCGTTCCAGCTGTGTGACCTCGGGTAGATCACTTGCCCTCTCTTGGCCTGTCTCCTCTTCTGTAAAGAGGACAGCTGTTACCTGGTGGGGCTCCATGCATTCCGGGAGAAGACTTGAGACGAATGCTCGGGGCAGGGCCAGAGTCGAGTAGGAGGCCTGATTTGGTGACTATTTCCGCCATATTGCCACCTCCTCTGTACCTTGAGAGAGTGGCTTTCTGGGCTTTTCTAGAGGAGGTGAGAGAGGAAAACTGTACAGCTTGGGTTTTTCTCTGTTGCTTGCTTTTGGCTGGGTCAGACCCCTATGCAGAGGCATTTCGAAGATCTGGCTCTGAACCAGAGAAGGGCGGAGGTTGGAGATCTGGCTGGTGGAGGAATTCCAGCCAACGTCGTAGCCAGAGAGAGGACCCTTGGCAAATCCCAGAACAGGGCACGTCCTCTCTCAGGCAAGGGGCCATGAAGTGCACGGGACACTACATTTCTTGGTGCCCTCTCTGTGGAATAATGTGGGGATGTGAGGTAGGTCCCTTCCTACAGGATACGGCATAGTGATTCATCCCCCTGGAGACAGAAGGACAGAATGTTCTTTGGGTCTAAAGAGGACAAAGCATGTGTTTGTGTTTTAATTCCTCCATCCATCTCAGGTGCAGTCTTGGTTTTGGCCAGTGCAGAGAGAGCACCAGGGCTGGCTTAGAATCGTGTGCGTGCGTGCGCACGTGTGTGTGTGTGTGTGTGTGTGTGTGTGTGTGTGCGCGCGCGCGCGCGCGCACGCGCATGTGTGCTTCTGTGACTTAAGGAATGGGACTCGCACAAGAAAGATCACATCTGTCTTTTCTCCTCCTACTGCCTGAGTGCCTTTGCTGTATTGCTTCCACTTTCTGAGACTGGCTGCCTTATCCTTCCAGAAGAGGCGAGCCGTGGTGAATGCTTCTGGCTGCGCAGAGGTCCAGGCTAGTGGTGAGACAGCGCGGGCCATGGCCACCACCCTTGGGTGGTTCCTCCCGAGGATGAAACCTTCATGCTCCATGGGGCTCATGCAGTCCTGGGAGGTTCTGCACTTGTCCTGGGAGATGTCGTGCCAATCCTGGAGTTCGCAAGCGGGAGCAGGAGCTCTCCAAGAAGCTCAGAGCCAATTAAGGGACGGAGGGGAGCCTGAACCCAGAGTAGTTAGTGGAGTTTCTAGAGAAAGATCATTTATTCTCAGGTCTTAATGCAATAGTTCCTGACTGTCTGCTGGGGGCGTGGACTGTGTGCCAGGCCTGGGGACGGAGCAGTAAGCCAGGCAGGGCTGCCCCTCGCTTTCTGGACACCTTTAGTTCTGGTTACAGGGAGGTATAATTTTAAGGCCTCCACAGAGATGAGTCAACATCAGCCACGCATCCCCACCCCAGGGGGCTGTCAGGGACATCCTTGGTGCCTGCCAGGGCTGGGCATCCTGTATCTGCCACTAAGTGGTACCCAGACACTGCATTAAACACCTTGTTACCGTGTCCCAAGGACCCCCTTTCCTCCTGCCACTGTTTCATACCCCAAGGTGACCATCTCCCTTGAGGATCCCAGGGTGAGGTGGTTTGCTCCTGTCCTCCGGCTAGGGACCCAGTGCTCAGAAGCATCGGGGAAGGGTAGGACTCAGATTTGAACCCTGATGACCTCCGGCTGGCAGGGATGCTGCTTGGCCTGGCCTATTTTTAAGGGGGCGCCGTGTGGGTCAGCTGGGGAGACAATGGAGAATGTGACCCTCTCAATGAACCATTGTCCCCGATTGGCTTCAGGGCCAAGACGGGCCCAGCAGATGACTGTGGCCCCCACTGGGGGCCGGGCTGTTGCTCCCTTGTCTGTGGATTTTTCCAGTGCTTGTAGAGGCAAGAGCGGAGTGCTGGGCACCGATGGAAAGAGAGAGCATGGACTCTGTGTTCAAGGGACTGACTGCCGTTGTTGGGGTGATGAGGGAGGTGGCTCAGGAGGACCCTTGTGATGGGGATGGACCTGGGACTGACAGGGAGCAGGCTTCCCCTCCATGCTGTGGTCTGTGTGGGCCCATCAGCGTCACCTGGTGAGCACTCATACTCGGTGAGGTTCCAGCATTCTCCCTATGTCACAGGTGTGAGGGCAGCCTGGGAAGGCCCCCTCCAGTACCCAGAATCCCCCAGCTTGCTTTAGGGGTCCTCAGAGCGAGGGCTGGAAGCACCTGCAATGCTTGCTTGGGATGGGGAGGGGAGCGGCTTCTTGCTACATGCGTGGATAGCGCGCTACCCTGTTCTGGCGGGAGAGCCTGAGAATTGGGGTGTATTTCTTGATTTGTTAGCCAGTTTCTCACAGGTCTGGGATGGAGGGGCTGTGGGCACAGTCCCTCCTGCTGTGTCCTGTCCTGCGGGCCTCCTGGCATCCCCGGAGCTGCCAGGTCCTAGGTCTACTCGCAGGGTACAGCCTTGGGGAAGGGCAGCTTGCCCAGCTCCACGAGGCTCCTAACTGGGGCATCTGGCCCGTTTCTTCTTGTCCATGTGGGGTGGACCCTGACCTGCTCTTTCCCGCCATTCATCAGCAGTCGAGATGGTTCACATGTAGGTTGGTTTTGGGAGCAGGTTAGATGGCATCTGGAATGTTCTCTCCTTGGTGAATAAAGGTCAAGGGCTGACCTGAAGTGGCCTTCTGAGGCATGAACGTGGTTTGACTCTTCAGGCTTCTCAGAGTGTGAGGGCGTAAGAAGCCTGTGGGGAATGTTGAGGGTGACCTTGTGGTGGGTCCTGAGTGTGATTCTGGGCAGCTGCCTTGGTTTCCCTGATCCAAAATGTCACCATCCACCATGGGAGCAGATAGTCTAGGAAGCTCAGGCTTTGATGACCTCCATTTTCCAGGTGGAGAAAACCAGGTCCTGTGCAGAGAAGGTCTGGGGCTGGTGCCTTTCCTACATTTTGGGCCGTTAATGTCACCGTCCGAACCAGGACTCTTTCCTCTGTCTCCCAGCTTAGTTCCCCTTCCCTCCCTGGCTCTTGGAGCAGTTTCTCTGGCCGGAGAGATCTGCTGCCCAAAGGCCAGAGCTCTGCTGACCGAATGAGAAACATACATGGAGCTTCCTCAAAACACAGTTGGAAGCTGGACGCACGCAGTCAGTGGTTGCAGCCGCAGCAACTCTGAGAAGCCCACATCACAGACCTCTCTGTCTCTGTCTTTCCTCAGGAGCAGGACATAGAGACGGTGCATGGCTCCATTCATGTCACGCTGTGCGGGACCCCCAAGGGAAACCGGCCCGTCATCCTCACGTACCATGACATTGGCATGAACCGTAAGTTCCCGGGAGCCTCAGTTCCTGCTGGGGATGGGGAGGAGGACAGCTAGGAAGAGCTGGTGGTGGGAGGGCCAGCTGTTCTCTTTTGCTGACACTTCCTGGAGCGGTTGTGAGAAGAGAACTTGCCACAGTCTTGAAGAGCCTGGAATGCACGACGCAGGGCACAACAAGGTCTTTGTGCCTGGGTGTGCTGGGAACTCGGGGCCCTCCACTGTCTGTGGGTGACAGTGACTTCTTTTGATCAGTGTGTGCAGTTGTTTTTATGATTTTGACCGAGTTGTACAACCATCAGCACAGGCCATTTAAGAACATTTTTTTACCACTCTGAAAACTTTGTTCCCACAATCTCCCGAACCCCCCAGCCCCCGGCCACCTCTGGTCTACTTTCTATCTCTAAGGGCGTGTGTATCCGGGACATTCGTTATAAACGGAATCCTGCCACACGGGGTCTTCTGTGACTGGCTTCTTTCATAATGGTTTCCGTCCATCCACATGTCCACATGTCCCCTGTGTGACGTCCTTCCTTCCTTGTTCCTGAATTATATATACTCCATTGTGTGCATAGACCACACTTCATATTTCCGTCCTTCCGTTGATGAACACTTGGATGGTTTTGCTTTTTGGCTATTCCAAATGAGGCTGCCGTGAATGTTTACGCTGTATTCTTGAGATTCCCATTAAGTGTTACCATATGTGGGTTCCCCATTTTTCACAGACGGTAAAGGAGTAAGATCTGCTGAATGTTAAAATCGCGCAGGATAGAAGCGAATCTTTCCGTGGCGATTGAGAAGGCACTGACGGCCTGCACGTCCAGGCACCTCTGTAATCCTGAGTATCGCAAGCTGGGTGATTGTGTGATCTGTGATCGACAGCCTGCCTGGCTTGCATGTTTTTCCTCCAGCTTCTTAGTACCTTGAGGCAGTGATGTCAAGTCACTGAAAACCATTTTCCTTCATCTTCCCTTCTCCTATATCCCTCTTCCTCTCTGTGCCCGCCCTTGGATCCATTAGCTACCAGCTCCCATGCTAGGTCCTTGGATATCTGTTATCTTACTTTTCCAGGCTCTGGTAAGGGATGGAATTGCCTGTGGCTGTTACCCCTGTGGTGGAGGCTCACTGTTTTAGTAAGCCAACTGCAGAAACAGAAGCCCCCAAGATCTCTGTGGCTGTACACAGTACACATTTGTCTCTCTCTCCTGTAATGCCTCTGGGCATTCTGTGGGACAGCTTTCGCTTGGTGATTCCAGAACGTAGGTTCCTGCCAGCTGTGGCTCCTCCATCCCCTGGGTCCTCAGAGCCTTCTGCATTTGGCAGATGGCAGCAGGGAGAGAAACCTAGAAGAATGGGTGGCAGGTATTAACAAGAAACCGCCAGCTTCACGAGCTATTGGCTAGAACCCGGTCACATGGCTGCCTCTCATTGCAAAGGATTCTGGGAAATGTAGTCCCGCTGTGTGCCCAGGAAGAAAAGGGGGTGGATGGGTGAACAGCTGGCCATCTTTGTCTTAAGCACTCAGCAGTTGGGAGACTCCCCCAAGGCCACATAAGAAGTGAGAGCGTCCATGCTTTACCTCCTGTGCCCTCCTTGGTTGAGAGTCATGTGCCCTGGCCATTACTTCCAATGTGGGGGTTCCAGAAACCCAGACAGAAAGAGGGCATGAGTGCAGCAAGGTCCACCGCAGCCCAGCTGATGAGGGGTGATGCTGGAGCCAGGACGGGAGTCTCCTCGCAGCACCAGCTCCATCCATGTTTGGGCTCCAGCCGCTGGCGTATGCAGTGGAGCTTACCCACCCTTTGCACCACCAGGCCCACTTGCTTGCCTTTTAGCAGCAGAGGCAAGTAGGAGGGGACAAGAAGGTCGGCATTCTTTCTTCTGCGTTCATTGCTCCCCTGCATGGGAGTGAGAACAGCAAAAGGCCATTACATGCCACCAAGCACCCAGATGTATTCTGTCCTTACTCCTTCCTCTTCTCTCGCCTGTGCCCGTTCTGCAGACAAAACCTGCTACAACCCCCTGTTCAACTCTGAGGACATGCAGGAGATCACGCAGCACTTTGCTGTCTGCCACGTGGATGCCCCTGGCCAGCAGGACGGCGCTGCCTCCTTCCCTGTGGGGTAAGACCTAGAACCCCGTGCCCCCAAAGGGGTACAGAAAAGCTGAGCAGGGGGCGGGGGAGGCGTCACACTGGGTCTGTGTTTTATGGTGGCAAGGTATATATAACCCAAGATTCACGCTTGGAACCATTCTTGAGCGTGGAGTTCAGTAGTGTCACGTGCGTTCGCACTGTAGTGCAGCCGTCCCCACTGCCTGTCGCCAGGACTTTTTCAGCCTCCTAAACTGAAACGCTGTCCCTGCTAAGCACTAACTCCTTGCCCCCCACCGCCCTGACCCCCACTCTCACCCACCCAGGGAGCTAGCTTTTTAATAGGTGCGCATGACAGGCACAGGATCGAGCGGAGGAGACTTTCACAAGAAAAACAGTTCGGAGAGTTCTAGAAAGGTGGGAAGAAAAAGAGAGGGAACAATAGGAAATAATCTTGATGAAGTACTTCGTGGTCCAGGCTTAGGTTTTTTTTCTTTTTTCTTTTATCTTTTTTTTTTTTTTTTTTAGATTTTATTTATTTATTTGACAGAGAGAGATCACACGTAGACAGAGAGGCAGGCAGAGAGAGAGAGAGGGAGGGAAGCAATCTCCCTGCTGAACAGAGAGCCCGATGTGGGACTCGATCCCAGGATCCTGAGATCATGACCTGAGCCGAAGGCAGCGGCTTAACCTACTGAGCCACCCAGATGCCCTCTTTTTTCTTTTTTAAGATTTATTTGAGAGAGAGAGAGAGAGTGCCCAAGGGGCAGGGGAAGGGGCAGAGGGAGAGGGAGAGACAATCCCAAGCAGACTCCCAGCCTAGCAGGGAGCCCAACACGGGCTCAGTCCCATGACCCTGAGATCATGAACTGAGCTGAGATCAAGTCGGATGCTTAAATTAACCTACCGAGCCACCCTGGTGCCCCCCACCCCCCAGGTTAGTTTTTATTCATACGGGTCACTTGCACTTAGTCCTGTGGCTAGGATATATGTGCCTGGTGTTACAGTTCCATTTCCTGGGTGAAGAAACTGAGGAGTGAAAAGGCTAAGTACTTTGCTCAGAGTCCTACAGCTTGTTTAACTGGGGGAGTCGGAGACTCTGCTGACTTGAAGGATCATGTTCTCTTTAGAACATCAGGGTCTCTTGTCCCAGGGATTTAGCTGCCTGCTTCTCCCCAGTGTGCAGCCAACGTGGGCTTCTGGTTTCTGCTGCGAGACTGAGACAGGCTTCCTGAGTGCCCGGGACCATGAGTGTCCCCTGGAGGGAGGCAGACCTCTTGCAGGCTGTCGTTAAACCAGGGTGCAGCAGGCTCAGGGGTTTCGAGTCTCCCAGAAGGGGCCTTCTTGACATTCACAGATAGCTTCCTCTCCTCTCCTCCCCTCTTCTCCCCTCTCCTCTCTTCTCTTTTCTAATTGGTGTTCAGAATTATCCTTAATAATTAACCTTTGTCAGAGACCGGGAAGGACACCAGCACATGGGGCCACGACCAAAAATGTAAAGCTTCCTAATACAGTGGGACCCTGTTATCTGTTCACTAGCAGATTAAGCCAAAGGTCTGTCAGCAGATCCATCCTTGTTGGGAGCAAGTGTTTGAAAGACTTGCGGTAATGCAGTGGCTCTTAGCTCCCCATAGGAGGATTTAAAAAAAAAATGTCCTGAGCTTTGAGCCCCACCCTGTGGAGTTTTTATTAAGTTGACCTGGAGGCCAAGGTTCAGGGTGTTTGCCCCCCATCCCCAGGTCAGCAGGTGATTTTAGTGTGTGGCTGGTGGCAGCCACGGCCTGAACAGGCCCTGCCTTATTTCTGCCTCCTGTAGTTGGGGGTCTCCTGCACCCTCTGGGGTATGCTCCCTCTGTCCCGAGGCTGAGGCAGCAAAGCAGGGTTGGGGACCCCAGCTCTGGAGTCAGCTTCCAACATATGGGGGGCTTGTGTAGAATCCCTTTGCCTCCTGACTCTGTATCCAACCCCAGGAACAGCAAGGAAAGAAGCCATTGGGAGTAAGTGGCTTCCCCAGAAACCCCTTTTGGGGGCTGCTGGCTGTAAACTGAACCGTGGCCATTTCAGAAGGAAACTGGCCCCATTTATGTGTAGACAAACCAGCCAGGCTCTTTCTGGCTCTTCCCAGAGCTTTTACACCTGCTGGGTTCCCCTCCTGGAATATGTTTCCTATACTCTACACTCATCAAACCCAATGCCTCCTTCAGTGTCACTTCTTCCAAGAAGCCCTCCCTAACCACCTGATCCAACAGAACAGGGATCCCTGTCTCAGTTTCCCTTCTGAACACCCCCATCTCTCTCACTGTTACCTCCTTTGTCATTACACTCCCTCGTTTCGCCTGGCCCCTGTGTGGGACCGGGGCTTTTGTGCTCATGTGGTCTCCCTGGGGAAGAGTGAGCACCCGTAACTCCTTTGTGGAAGGGCCTACTCCCGGAGACCAGCCTTGTGGGATGCCTCCTAGTCCAGGATGCTCCTGTGCCTCCCCGATACTGTGGCCTATCCGCTCGTCTTGGGCGGAGTTTTTCGGGCTCCCTCAGGGACCCGTCCAGAGACTCATGGGATGTCCCGAGGAGCTGGTCCTGGCGCAGCGAGCCATGTGCATCTTCTGATAAAAAGGGCCCGGCTCGCTCATGGCACCCAAGGCCTTGGGGAAAGGGATGTTTCTTGGAGTTCTTCCAGGCAAGTCGGGAAAGAAAACGTGCAGGAATTCTGGCTAGGGTTGTTGGCTCCTGCAGGGCCAGAGCTCTCTGGCCTTTCTGGAGATCCCAGGCTGGTGAGCACACACGGTGTGAGAAGGCAGAGGGAACAGCCTATGCGAAGGCCAGGAAGAGAGCAGGCATGGAAATGCTCGACGAGACACCGGGGGCAGCGCTGGTTTTGGCTGAGAGGAAGGGACCAGCCTAGGAAGTGGCTCCTCACTGTGCAGGGGGTTGGCATGTGGTACGCCCATAGGAAAGGGGGGACACAGTGGGAACAAGAAGCCCCGTGTGGGCCCAGCCTAAGGACTTGGTGACAGGCGATGGTTGTTCCCTGCACTCAAGGAAGGGGAAGCATCTGCCGTAATGCAGCCTGCAGACTCCATACTCAGGCAGGAACCGGGTTCCAGAAAAAGGGTGAATCGAGGCATCCCAGTGCTTTCAAATCCTGCTGGGTGTTCCGTCTCCCAAAGCCCACTGTGTCCAGCTCATCAGCGTGGCCTGCTTCTCTGTGCTCTCTCCAAGCTCCAGAGCATCTCTCGGGGTCAAGGGGGAGATAAGGGAGGGAATTCCCCGTGGCCAGGAATGTTCTATGGGAGAGCTGCTGGCAGGCCTCCTTCTGGGAGGTGAGTGAGAAATCCCAGAGCCCACGGGAGATGCCATTCCAAGGGCCGGCCTGGCCATGAAGCCAAGTGGCTTATCCCAGCTTCACTGCTATTTATAATCTGTACACCAGGGGAAGTCACGGGAACCTCACAGGGTTGCCGTAAGTATTAGATGAGCTGCTAAGCCTCCTCTGATGCTTGCTGTGGGACCTGGAGCATAGGAAGCAATCTTTCAAGGGTCAGTTTACAAACAGGGAGGATTGGGATGGGGCGCGGCCTCGAGCAGGGACTGAGGCTGGTGCGTGTGGCTCGATGCCCGGAAGGAGGGCCGCAGGGGGCTGGGCAGGGGGCTGAGCGGGGGCTGAGCTGGGGCTTGGGCACACGGGTAAGGTTGTGCATGAGTCCTGTTCCTGCTTGAATGATTCATTTCCACCGGGATCCAGGCCCCCACTAATGGCCTCTGCATGGCTTCTCCCAAGGTACATGTACCCCTCCATGGACCAGCTGGCCGAAATGCTTCCTGGAGTGCTCCACCAGTTTGGGTAAGAGCGAGGGATCGATGGCCCCAGCAGCCTGCAGAGAAAGGTGGCTTCTAGCCTCTGCCTCTCCTTTGGCTTTGATCTGGCCTGGCCACTGAAATGTAGGGTGAATGGTCAGGAAAGAAATGAGCTGTCACACTGTCTCTACTCCATGGTCTGCCTCCCTTCAGTTGGGCTTTTCTCCATGAACAAATACATCACCTGAAGCCCGCCTCCCCCCCCATCCTTTCCCTGCCTCCTCTTCTTTTATTGCTCTTCCTTATTGATGGAATGTTCTGGAAGAGGGTGGCCTGCCCTCCATTTCTCCCTCCATGCCCTATTTCTTCAGTGCTCATTTGCCTTTTACTTGGGCCTTTTGTGTGAGGATCATACCTCAGAGTTCTTGGCCAATTTATTTTCCTTCCTAGTTTCAGAGTCTAAAATAAAGCTTAAGAGGGGAAGAAGTGGTGCGGTAATGGGCCTTCCCATAAATGTCAGGCAGTCTCTCACAGCCTGCCTGAGAAAGGGACGAGTCTCTCCAAGGTCACGGTGTTCTGTCAAGCTGTAAAGCATGATGCATGTCGGGTCCTTGAGGCAGTGTGTTCTGGCTTGCCAGCCACGCTCCGCCATGAGCTGGACAGACACTGGGGGCGGTGGCGTTCCTTAGGGACCAGGAGTGAGGGAGGTTTTAAGAGGGTCATTAGGGCTCCCATTGCTCATCCTTGTGTGACATGCCTTTTTATTTCTGCTTCCAGGCTGAAAAGCATTATTGGCATGGGAACGGGAGCAGGTGCTTACATCCTCACTCGCTTTGCTGTGAGTTCTTGGGCATTTTTTTTAAAAAATTATGTGTTAAATGCAACTGAGTCAGGATTAAGGAAAACAACTGGATAAGCACCAAAAATCCCAGAATGAAGAGAGAAATGACCCGTAATTTCTGAAGGAAGGACCGCAGTTCACGTGGTGTGTGGTCCAGAGTCGTGCGTGTGCACGCGCGCACGAGTGTACTCACATACGTGCTGACAGCCTTGCCTTTCCTACAGCAGACAGACTGACTCTTTGATCACTGATTTTGCTCACTTCTTGGTTGGTTGTGGGCAGGTCCTCATGTCACCATACCTTCTGCTTCTTCGTGAAAACCCCACAGCTTCCGGATTCTGACTCATTCTCCACTAGAATCAGGGACACGTAGGTTCATGTGACTGTGGGCCCAAGCCAGGTGCTCCTGGAGCCCTTGCGTCCTTACCGAGCAGCTGTTCAGAGACGCAGCAGCGCTCGTTTGATGAATAGACTTGAAGGTATTCCGACTGCATGTCACTTGCTGGACGTTGTCAGAACTCAGAAATGCTGGTATGAATTTAAAAAAAAAAAAAAGAAGAACCCTGACGGACTAGGCTCTGAGCTGATAAAGGAAGATCCATGTTCGATATGAGATGGATACAGATGTGTCTTCCAGGAGAGGTTGCTAAGGAGCCATGACATGCCCTGCCTGACCTTGAAACTGGTGCTCTGGTAGACCCATCTGACCCATCTGGGGGAGAGGAGGTGCAGGAAGGGGAAGTGACTTGCCCAAGGCAGGTGTGCCACGCGCACACACACGTCTTCTCCTGCTTCCCTGCCCCACAGTCTCGGGGGCTCAGTCCTGCGTCTGTTGAACTGGAGCCTCTGTTTGTCATGGGAGGCGGGGCTAAAGGGTCTTGAGGGCAACAGACCACTCTGGGGATGCACATGGGCCCTTTTCTGGTACCCTTCTCCATTTTCTGCTTTACCTTTGAGGTGCATGGTATCTGAGATCATGGCGTTGCCACTCACCTTGTGTCTTGAATTGCAGCTGAACAACCCCGAGATGGTGGAGGGACTCGTCCTTATCAACGTGAACCCTTGTGCAGAAGGCTGGATGGATTGGGCTGCATCCAAGGTGAGGCTGGGGATCAGGGCCGAGACCAAGGTCAGTATCAGGGTCAGGGCTCCAGTCAGGGCCAGGGTTAGGGCCAGGGCTATGGTCAGGGCCAGGGTTAGGTTCAGGGCTGGGCCAGGGCCAGGGTCAGGGCCAGAGTCAGGGTCTGGGCCAGGGGCAGGGCTAGGGGCAGGGCCAGGGGCAGGGCCAGGGTGAGGGTCTGGGGTAGGGTCAGGGTCTGGGATAGGGTCAAGGTAAGGTCTAGGGTCAGGGTCAAGCAGGTGGAATAGTTGGGCCCACCCAAACCCCTTATAGCCTCCTACTCCCCACCCCTTTACAGAAAACAGTTTGCTTTGCTTTGCTTGGGATAGTAAACATGACCTCAGCCATTTGCCATTTGGAAGATTTCAGTAGGACACTGTGATCTAAACTAGACATTCCATGGGGACGTGAGTCCTCGAGCCAGCTTTGATAAGCATAGTTTGGGTTAAGAAGTGTTTGCTGAGGACCTAACATGTACTGGGCTTCGGTCAAGACACTGGAATCAAAAGAGGAACAAGACAAAGGCCTCTGATGTCAGGAACCCACATATCATTGATGAAAAAGGAGGGTGTGTTTAGGACCAGCACTGCTGCTCATTTGATGACAATAATTAGCTAGTATGTCCTGAGTATTTCCCAGGTGCTGTTCGTACTGTCTGACCACATTGACTCTTCCCAGTGACTCTGGGGTGGGGGGTGGACTTGTTAAAACCAGGTTCTGGAGGAGGAAAGTGAGGCTCAGAAGTGAAGGAAGCTGTCCAAGATCCCACAAAGCTAGTCAGTGGGAGAACTAGGGCTGAATCCAGATCCCATGGACTCTGTAGTCCTTGGGCCTCACCTCCTGCCTCCATCCCCCGTCTCATCCAGCAGGTGTGGAATGGCCCCTTGACCCAGGCGCTGCAGGTCTGGGAATACAGAGGGGGCAGGACCCATGCTGTCTTGGGAGGCTCTGCTCTGGCTGGTGTCCTAGCGTTCCTTGTTTATCTTTTAAAAATGATTATTGTGTTTTTTCATAAAGGCGCCAGTATTTGCCAAGGGAAGAGGTTAGCCGTTCCAATTGAAACAGGACAGAACCTTTCAAGCTGGGGTGATCCTGGCCTTTCATTTTGAAAGTATGTTTTTGCCAAGTGTTGGGTGGCTGTCGCAGACCGAGGTTTGAAGGGGTTGTGCCCCTCCCTGCTACCTCCCACCCGTCTTGGCCACTCTGATACTGCATTTCTTTCTGGAACCTTCTGCCAAAATGCAGGAGCCCATCCCTCTGATCCTGCGTGATATTCAGAAGCAGAGCACACTCCCTGTTTTTTTTTATTTTATTTTCCAGGAAAGGAAGTGATATTACCGTCAGCCAGTTTGGCTCCTGGGTAACTGTTCTGAGCCAGACATGGAGGGCTGGGGACATTGACCATTGGCCAGAGTAGGGCCTGAGGAATGTCTGTGTGTGGCTTTAGTATCTGCACCATATCCTTCCTTTCCAACCCCAAGAGAAAAAAGCCCTATATTGGGAGTAGTCTATTATGTGTCAGGCACTGACGTCAGATCCTATGACACGTGTGGTCGCCTCATGTTATCCTCACCTTGACCTTGCGTCTTTGAAGATCCTGGCACGGCTGCTTATAGATGAGAGGCTTGAGCTTCAGAGGCTCTGCAACCCACCCAGACCCACACAGCGAGCATATGGCAGGAACCCCAATCTGGAGAGTCCCCTGGTCTGGAGCTTCTCTATCCTGCCCATCCTTGCCTGACACTGAAATTGGTCAGCACACATTTATGGTCCTGCTGTATCCTGAGCATTTATGGAGCTCCTGTTACGTACCTAGCACTTATGGAGCTCCTGCTGTATACCTAGAATTTATGGAGCTCCTGCCGTATACCTGGCATTGTGTTGAGGAGAGAGAGAGAGGAGAGAAAGTTGGCCGTGTCTTTAGTGACCTCCATATATTCCAAGAGAGGATACTGGCTCGAGGTGGGTAATCTAGAGGTTGATACAGGAAGGCTAGTTCAAGGTAAGCAGGTCCTGGGGTAGAGACTAGCAGAGCTTGGTGTGTGTATAGAAGAAAGGGAGGGGGCCCTCCTTGGGAGAACCCAGTGTGCTACAGCACAGGGAAAGCTAGGAGCTGGCTGGGTCTCTGTTCAGCTCCTGTTTTCTGTGCATCTTTGCACTGTGCGTGGGGCTCTGAGAACAAGCGATTGGTGGAGACTCAGGTGCTGCCTTCAGGGAGGGCCCAGGTCCTTCAGGCAACTGGAACAGGTAACCAAGTGCCCATGAGGGGGCTGACTTCAGACCTAAGTGTGGGGAGCCCAGCACTGAAGGCTTTGCTGACCCACCACCGCAAACACCTGTTCTCATCATACCTGTTCTTCCCTGCCCAGATCTCTGGATGGACCCAAGCCCTTCCAGACATGGTGGTGTCCCACCTCTTCGGGAAGGTAAGTAGCATGGCCTCACATCCTATCGTTCATGCCGAGCGACCGCGTGCGCTTGGGCCTTGGGCACAGAGACCAGCCAGACACAAACCGCTGAGGCCGCTGCTGACGTCCGCCTCGCCCACAGTGCCCGTGACTGCTTTCCAATCAGGTCCCGCTCACTCTCCTTCTAACATGAGGCTTTTTTTTTTTTTTTAAAGAAAATAACATACTAGATAGATCCCTTCTAAGTAAATATAACAGATAGCTTTTTTTTTAAAATTTTATTTATTTATTTGACAGGCAGATCACAAATAGGCAGAGAGGCAGGCAGAGAGAAAGGAAGGGAAGAGGCTCCCTGCTGAGCAGAGAGCCCGATGCGGGGCTTGATCCCAGGACCCTGAGATCATGACCTCAGCTGAAGGCGGCGGCTTTAACCCACTGAGCTACCCAGGCGCCCCTAACATGAGGCTTTTTAAAGGTGCTTTGGTATTAGAAGTACGAAATTTCACCGATGCTGACACACACACACATCCCCATAAAGCCGCACTGATTGAGATGATGACCATATCCATCACCCCTGAAAGCTCCCCGTGCCCCTTGCTAAGCCTTCCCTCCCTGCCCCTCGGACAGCCTCTGATCTCCTGACCCTCGCTGGAGATGAGGTCGTATTTCCTAGAGTTTTACATAAATGGCACCACACAGTATGTATCCTCGTGCGCTGGGCGCAGTTGCTTTGAGATCCGTCTCTGCCGCTGCTCCCTTGCTTTTCCAGCTTCTGGTAGCTTCAGAATTCCCTGGCTTGTGGCTCAGCCCTCCAGGCTCTGTCTGTGTCTCTGGTGGCCTCTCCAAGTCTGTTTCAGATCTCCCACTGGGGGCGCCTCAGTTGAGCACCCGACTCTCGATTTCAGCTCTGGGCATGATCTCGGGGTTGTGAGATCGAGCCCAGCCTCAGGCTCTGCGCTCAGCATGGAGTCTGCTCGTCCGGTGCCCTCTGCTCCTCCCACCGACTCACGTGCTTTCACTCTGTCTCAAATAAATAAATAAAATCTTAAAAAAAAAAAAAATACAACAAACGTCCCTCTGCCTTTCTCTTAGGACACTTGCCATTAGATTTAGGACCTACTGGGATGATCTCAAATGATCTCATTTCAGGATCCTTCTCTTAATGACGTCTACAAAGACTTCTCTTCCAAATAAGTTAACGTTCACGATGCCCAGGGGTTTGACATGGACGTGGCCTCTGGGGCTAGCCTGCGGCCCACTGTAGCTGTCTTCCCTTGTCTGTGCTCCATTCAGTTTGCGATACGTTTTCTCTACCCCTGAGTGTGTATCATCTGAGCCTGAGGGGACCATGGGAAAAATTAAAGTCAGTTTCTGTATTTCCTTGCAGGAGGGGGTGTCAAGTATAGGGTGAGAGTCTGACCTGCTTCTGCCCCACATTACTTGAGGAACCCCCAGGTTGCTATAGTTTGTTTGTTGTTTTGTTGTTGTTGTTTTGTTTTTTGTTTTTTTTTATCTGAAACCGCAGCACAATTTACGATGGTTTCTTCCTGATTATGTTTCTAACGGCATGTTGGCCTCTTTGTTGCTTCACTGATCATGGACTACTTAGACAATAGCTCGGGCTGGACATGGGCCCCCCTTTGCTCCCTCCCTGTCCTGCTCTGGTGGCCACTGATCACATCAGGCCATTTTGTGGAGCCGTCACATCCGCTCTTTTACAAATGAGAAACAGAGCAAGCTCGTAACTTGTTTGTCTGTCCCAAATCACATTCAGAAAGGAACCAGGGAGAGGTTCCTTTCTGAGGAAAGCCGAGGCTTCTGCAGGGCTCTCGCTCGCCCCCCCCCCCCCCCAGGAAGCTGAGAAGGCCCTTCTTTCCAGAAGGTTCACGGGAGTTGCATGCTTTGGTTTTGTGTTTCCAGCATGAAAAACTTCTCAACTCCCCCTTAAAAACATTAACTTCTAACAGTTGCATCGATTTTTACTCTTTACAAAGGGCTTTTGTGTGCACCACGTCTCTTAATCCCACAGCCTGATGATACAGGGAATAGTCATCCCCCCTTTTATTTTTTAGGGGACTAAGGCTCCAAGAGATTAAGACACTTGCCCCCAAAAAAGGACAGTGCCAGAGCCAAGGTCCATGTTTGGGAGGACTGACCTCGAATAAAAAGTCCTGAAGAAGTAAGGAACCCAGAAGGGCGTTCTTTTCCCTTTGTGGGTTTGCATTCCTTCCTGTTATCAGCTGATAGGCAAAATCAGACTGCATTTCCTGCGGTCTGCTCAGGCTCCCTGGGAGTCCAGTGCATTATGCCTTATTATCTCTGTACCGCATAACCCGAAGAATGGAGGTACTCGGGAGTGGCCCAGGGCCCGGTCGCAGCAAAGGCTGTCTTCCCTCTTTCGATGCAGGAGGAAATGCAGAACAATGTGGAGGTGGTCCACACCTACCGCCAGCACATTGTGAATGACCTGAACCCCGGCAATCTGCATCTGTTCATCAACGCCTACAACAGGTATTAGTACGCGGCTCGGCCACCAAGTGGCCGTCAATCGAGTTCCTTTTGTTGGTCTGGAATGTGGTGTAAGGCAGAGGGGGCTTACGAAATCAGTAAAGGATCCAGTCCCTGAATTTGAACAAAGAGATGGCTGGGAGAGGGAGACAGGTGCTTCCTGGAGTTCTGCACTCCAGACTAGGGGGACACAGGCATGAGGGAGACATAGTCACACCCCCCCCGGGGTTTGGAATAAGTGTCCATGCCCCGGCTGACCCTGCAGAGAGGCCAGGTGTGAGGAGGGTGAAGAGAGTGAGCAGTGGGAACGAGGGGGAGGGAGCAGTCCAGAGAAGCTGCTGGAAGGTGAGTCAAGCCAAGGACAAGGAGCACATCCCTCCAGCCTTTGGCAAGGTGTTAGTCCTCTTCATGATAATGAGGGGCTGGTCTGGACCTCAGCTAAGGGAGGGGACAGCTCAGGGACACTGGTGTCAGCCAGGTGTTCTGAAAACAGGGAACGCCATCTGCTGCGCTCCCATGAAGGGGACAGGAAGGAGCCTCAGGACTGTATCTCTCTGCGGTCAGTAGCTTACTTCATGAAAGGCGTTAGTGTCTGTAACAAAGTTCAGTGTCCATCTCCTCTTACCATCCTCCCAGCATCCCGCCTCTCAGTGCAGGAGGGAGAGGTCCTGCCCCAGTGGGCAACTGAAGATGTGGGACCCTGCAGAGCATTTCTTAAGCAAATACTTCCCGAGAGCTGGAGCAGTCAGGCTGTTGGCTAGGCAGCAGACCCGCAGAGACCAGAACAAACCCCCAAGCCCCACACACTGCTTTGCCCTCATGGTACCCATAGGAATCAAGTAAATCCTCTTAAAAATCCTGGGACACTGTTACTATCATCATTTCCTGCCAAGGAAGCACATGCACAGAGAGGTTCAGCATTCTGCCCAAAGTCACACAGCGAGGAAGTGGAAGGGTGTGATTTGAATCCAGTCTCTCTAGCTCCAGGCCATGCTCTGGAAAAGGGTGTCTGCTGGTAGGAGCCCTCAGGAGGCGAGAGGCTGGATAGACATCTGCAGGGGTGAGCCATGGGGCTGGCCGGGCCCATGCTGGGCATGACGCGGCACAGTAGGAGACTGTGGGAGGCTTTGAAATGAGGGAGGGAAAGGGTCAGGTCTGCGATGTAAAAGAGATTGTGTAGAGGACTCGGGTTGGGGACAAGGAAGTGGGTGCCATGGGAAATGAGTGAGTCCTGCTGTCCCTAAAACCATTTACATGGGCCCTGAGAGGCTGTGCTATCCCCGAGAGCCATGCGGGTTGGGACATGAGTGTTTTGCCAGGACAGCCAGTGGCAGGACATCCTGGGATTAGGGAGATGGGAGGGGCTGTCCAGGTAACAATGTAACCGTGCGTTTGTTGTCTGCAGCCGGCGGGACCTGGAGATTGAGCGGCCGATGCCCGGAACCCACACAGTCACCCTGCAGTGAGTGGCCTTTGTCCCCCTTGCCATCTTGTCGCCTTGCTCAGCCACTGGCAGGGCCCTCTTTCTGTGTTTGTCAGGATTGACGTGCTGTGCCAGGACATCCATCATTGGCTCTCCCTGGGTGTGTGCTTCCCAGGAGGCAGCCATGGCCCAGTCCCTCTCACCTACTTGATGTGCAGGGGTTCAGTTCCTGGGGGGTCCCTGAGACATGGGTGGGAGCCTAGGGTCTCAGAGAAGGAGCGCTCAGTGTACTTTGGATAAAACTTATTAAGTACCTGCTCTATGTTGAATATTGCATTAGGCTTTGCTTTCACAGAACCTGGAGATGACTAAGACATGAGTCCACCCTAAAGTACCCTATAAGCTAGTCATGGGTACAGCTGACTGCGTTCTGCCGGTATCATCTGTCTTTTGTAGTTCTGTAAGTGAGCCATATTATTTGACACCTGAACTTGGCACATGCGATTCCCTTTGTCAGGCATGTCCTCGTGGTCTCTGGTCTTGATTGTTGGCAGAGCCCTACTCATCCTTCCTTGAGGAGAGGATGCTTGAAACTAAAACATCAGGGCCCAGAAATTCTCTGGCTGAAATTCATACTAAGGTGTAAATGACTATCATCTCAGTTTATCTTAAGAACAAAGCAGAGGATGGAAGGAGAAGAAAGTTCAAAGAGCAAAGGGTACTGGGGAGACCAAAACAAATATTTTTAGAACTCTGGTCTCAGCCTGGGAGGCCTGGGAGCATATGAATCTTTAATAAGTAAACTTTGTGTTAACTCGCTCTTCTCTCCCTGCCCCCAGGTGTCCTGCTTTGTTGGTGGTTGGGGACAGCTCTCCCGCTGTGGATGCTGTGGTATGTAGGAATCATCCACTTGTTTCTGTGCTTAATTCAACAGCCCGAATCTGGTTGGCCTTTGGGCAGAGGGCCCCAACATCAGCCTCTATCCCTGGTGACTGTCAGCCCTGTTTGCTTGGCACCGGGTCCTCTGTCTTTTATTTCCAGGCCCAATACCTGCCGTTCCACCTCCCATTGGTTTGTTTAGATGGGCATGTTTGCCGCTTAGCTTCCCGGCCAACAGACTCTCCTCTCGTTCGGGAATCTGGTAGAGTTTTCAGACCTGCTTGGTGCCTGATTGTCTGGAAGGGCAGAGAGGGCCCTGGGCAGTGGGGTTTAGACAAGGCTTTCTGAGTCATTTCATCCCTTAATTCCCACCTGGGATATTGGGGAGGCAAAGCACAGACTTGACCCTCTGACAGCCCCACAGCTGGAGACCGGGAACCTTAAGGGTTACTGAGCAGAGTGCTAGCATGGTGACACATCTTGTGGCTACAGAGTGGGACTTGCAAAGGGCCATGAGTTTCCTGTGATCTGACCCACCAGGCATAATCGTAGGATATATCAGTACAGAGATATTGTCCATAGGAAGGGAGGTGATAATCTTAACTGTAGGCACTTGGAATATCATGGGTTACATGGGGGTATTTTGTCCAGTTTGGATGTGCTGCTGAGATGTTCATTGACAAATGAAAGCTAGTGGATGTTAATCTCTTATGAAGACCCGTTGTCAGGACTGCAGATGTTGATCCGCTTGTAGAATCTCTGGCAGCACTAGGTTAAGTAAGTCCATTTGTGTAGCAGCTGTTTCTGGAGCATCTGCTGGATTTCAGCGCATCGTTGTAACAATCCTTTGAAAAAAGATATTACTCCCATTTTATGGATAAAGAAACAGAGGCTCAAAGAAATTAAGTAACTTGTCGAAGGTCGCTAGTAATGACGGGGCTGGAACTTATGGTTATGTCGCTTCATCTCGAAGCCCACATCCTTTCCTCCATGCTAGTGGGAAGACGAGTTGCTGCTGATGGGTGCAGCAAAGGGGGAAGGCTGATGACCTTGGCTCTGGATGGAAAATTAACAGCTTTCTTCTCCCTTTCCTGGTCCAGGTGGAGTGCAACTCGAAATTGGATCCAACAAAGACTACTCTCCTCAAGGTACAGGCAGAATGATGCGAGTTCGCCTTTGTTTTTTCTCAGAAACCCCTAGCTCGCTACAGAATGGAGTAGTGCCTAATTGAGGCACAGCTGGGGGGTCAGAGACCGTAGAAATAATTATTTAATGTGTGCGTTCGCGAACATCTATCTGTTGTGCCCCTGGCTGGACACCCTAGGCTGCAGAGATGGGGAACTGTCTAGAACCCTGGAGGGAGTCCTAGAGTCTGTGGGCTACTGGCCTCGGTGCTCCGATGAGGGATGGACTAGGATTTGTGTAAGCAGGGGCTCTCCTAAGGGTTGGGCTGGATGTTCCTCCAAGAGGGGCTCTGCCATGGGAGGGCAGGACTCTGGCAGCCTCTCTGGGTACTTGAGGTGCTCGCTGTCCCCGAGGCCAGATTGAGGGTCTGTGCCCTCCCTGACCTCCCAGTCCAGCCGCCATATTGTTTGTGACTTGCCTAAAGGCACCACACAAGACAAGGACCCTTTCTGGTTGTACCCCCAGGAGGGCAGGCGACCCAGGTAAAGCCTGCGTGAAATGAGCTGAGGGTCTGTGGAGCGCTGTGCCCTCAGTGGCCTTGGGAAAGGCACTGGGAGGCATCTGATACTGAGGAGGGGACCTGGTCCCTGGAGCCAGCTCTTCACATACATTTTCTTTCTTTTTTTTTTTTTTTTAAGACTTTATTTATTTATTTGACAGAGAGAGTGAGATCACAAGTAGGCAGAGAGGCAGGCAGAGAGTTGGGGGGAAGTAGGCTTCCTGCTGAGCAGAGAGCCTGCTGTGGGGCTCGATCCCATGACCCTGAGATAATGACCTGAGCCGAAGGCAGAGGCTTAACCCACTGAGCCACCCAGGTGCCCCGACTTCACATACATTTTCTATCAAGATTCCCTCACGGAAAATTGCAGGTGAAGATGCTGGGCTTTGGGCCCCGGGGGGCTGCTGATCGGCTGACCCAGGAGGCCCGTTGTCTTTCTTAACTGTCCCGGCAAACCGTGTCTGGATTCCAGCGGCACTGGGGCTGCTCTCCCAGGAGAAAGACGGAGAGGTCACAGCTACTGCTGACAGGGAGAGGAGGATGGAGCATTTGAGAAGGAGGCGTTAGTCTCCTCGTCTCCATAAGCACCCAGATCAGGGATGGGGGGTGCCGTGCTGAAAGGCGCAGGAGTCTGTTCTCTTGGGGCCGTGCGGTCAGGAAGCTACAAGTCCTAAGTCCCGGTGTGGGCAGGGCCACGCCCCCTTCGAGGGCTCTAGGGAGGCCCCTTTCATGTTCTTCCCTTTTGTGACCATTGCCGACAGGCCTCAGTTTCCCGGCTGGCATCCGCATTCCTCCTGTCTCTGCCTCCATGCCGCCCAACCTTCTCTCTGGGCAGCCCTGTGTCCAGATTCCCCTCTGGTTTTAAGGACACCCCCAGTCATTGGATTGCGGGTCCACCTTCTTCCAGTACGACCTCATCTTAGCTCAGCACATCTATGGAGGGAAGGTGACGACCTACGATCACTGGCCGATTTGGCGGTGATGGGGATCTGAGTCCAGACAGCCTGGCCCCTGGGGTCAGTTCTGGTGTCCTGTCGCTGCATGGGCGCCCCCAGGTGCCCCAGTTAGTCTGACCCTGAGGCGAGACGCTGGGCCTTGGCCTGGCCCAGTGCCAGCTGCTGTCACTCACCAGGCCTGGCAGTCCCATGTCTCTCCTAGCCGTCCTCACCCCCACCACTGCCCCAGTCTCCCGAGCCCTGGGTCTGGGTCATGGTCCCACGTGCCTGGTGGTTTGATGATTCCTTAGGCACTTTGGAAGCTGTGGTGTTTGTGCCGGTGTAGCCAGTGGGGAGACTCTGAGGCCCGCCGTCTCAGGTGGAGCAGTTTCTGTCTAAGGGAACGTTTCACGAGAATGTGTGTGTGCGGGGCCTCCCGCACTGAGGCTTTCTGGTCAGATGGACCCTGGCCTCAGGCCCAGCACGTGCCTCTGCTGTGGGCTGTTCACACCTTCCGGTTCTCAGGGAACTGAGGGAGATTTCCGGGGCCCAGCAGGGCATCTGGCATCTCAGTCAAGAAGACACAGATCCGTGCTGAGATGGACAGAAACGAGCAGCCCTGGTGGGTGGGGGTGGGTGTCTCTCCACCCGTCAGGTGCCCGGTGTCTGCCGAATGGGGCCAGACGGGGCTGGGCAGTGGCAGGCGGGTCCCATGGGGAGGGACGCCTCTGCTGCGGTGTTTGGCACTGACCAGCTTCCCTCTCTCCTAGATGGCAGATTGCGGTGGCCTCCCACAGATCTCCCAGGTGAGTCCCACCTGTCCCCGCCCCCCAGCTGGAAGGTGGGTGCCTCTCTGTCCTGTTAGCACCCATTAGCACCCATTCCCCCACTGTCTGCTTGTCCCCCAGCTCACTGTGACATCTGATGCCACCACAGACAACGTCACTGTATACAGAAATTGCTTGCGCTTCCTAGGAACCCCAGGGGGTAGATGACGCTGGGGTTCATGGGGCAGGGGGTTTGATGCATGCACACGGCTTGACACCTGCGGACCCAAGTCTAACTGTGTCTGGTGTTCGCCCTCAGAGACCACAGGGTTCTGCCGGCGCTCAAGGCCGAGCAGAGCGGGGCAGTGGGGAGATGAAGCCAAAGTGTGTGTGTGTGTGTGAGCACGCGTGCGACTGTGCATGTGAACACACGCGTGTGTCTGAGCACGCGTGCGACTGTGCATGTGAACACACGCGTGTATCAGCACGCGTGCGACTGTGCATGTGAACACACGCGTGTATCTGAGCACGCGTGCGACTGTGCATGTGAACACACGCGTGTATCTGAGCACGCGTGCGACTGTGCATGTGAACACACGCGTGTATCTGAGCACGCGTGCGACTGTGCATGTGAACACACGCGTGT